TATATATATAAAATTCTATATTTAAATTAATTGTTAAAGATGCATAATTCTTATGTACTTTTCATATAAATTTCTAATTCAAATCAGGAATTTGTTTGTCTTTTTTTGTTTAACTTAAATATGTCGTTTAAATATTTTATTTCTGAAATCACAACAATGTCTCTATGCTCTTAACAATGCTTGATTTCAATATTTCCACCAATTCAGTATTGGCTGATAGTTGGTACAATTGTTTCATAAATATATCTACAATGTTCTGCATTTTTCTGCATTGTTAGAAGAGTAAAAAGAGAGAGAGATCATTAACAAATGCTCATTCTATTTTTGATGCTTGCCTGTGTAACATTAAAAACATGAATAGCTTTCTAAAACTGTTTAAAAAAGGAAAATCGAATGATGATCCAAACGGTAAATTTATAACACAAGTTATCTTCCTTAGTTCTATCATTTTTATTAATTGACGTTTATATTTTCATAAAAACTATATTTTATTTTAAATTGAAAACTTTCAAACATTCAAGTGGAAAACATCAGAAGGCAAAATTATTTATAAAATAAATATAAAAAGCTCATAAGTAATTTCGAGTTTTTTTTCCTGCTGTATGTGAAATAATGTATACATTCTCCCGCTTGGTCTTAATATTTTTGACAAAAATGACGAGTATTTCTGTAGCATTACTTTTTTTTAACAATTCTGGAATATTTCTACGCCGCTGATTTCAAATCAGCAATAGGTTCCTCTCTCCTAACTACAGTTTTTTAATGACTTTTTGTCTGGTCTTTGTTATCTTTTCCTATTATGAAATATTTCTTTTTGTGCTTCAGAACAAGTAATAATAGGAATGTGCCACTAGTCAAGTACGATGACTTTTCAGGGGAGGAGTTTCCAGTTCAATTTTAATCCTGATGCTATACCCTAGAAGTTTGCCACAACATTTCTGTGACTCTTTACATTGTGGCTCTTTATCTTGTGACTTTTATGACATTTTTAAGCTTGCACATTTCAACAAAAGTTGATTAAAAATATAAATGAAAAAACCTGTAGCTTTCGAAACAAAATTAACTTTAGATTTGAAATTCTCACACTCGAATTAAGGAAAACCGAGTATTTGTATGAAGGTTAAAAAAAATGTTTCCCAGTATAATCTTATGGCCGTATATTTAATTCAAAAAAAAAGCATGAACCGCTGCAGCAAAAAGAGGAGTTTCTTCTTCCAATTGAAAAGAAAACTAACCATTAAGATAAAATCTTTTTTTTTTCTGTTTCGTTTTCACAATTTTTAAATTATTTTCGAAATTGAACTTTAAGCCTTTCTTTTCTTTCCCTCAAACAACCCCTAGTATTAAAAGTATTTAAACAAAATTTTGACTAAAAATGAGTGAGTATGCAACGGTCAAGAAGGTCTCGTATGTTGAATCTTTTTTGTGAGAACATTCCAAGAAAAGAAAGCAGTTAATAAAACCATTAAACTACTTCTGAGGAGACAGAGAGATAAAAAATTTTATAAAACATAAACTGTAGCAGCAAGGATGGATTTGTTCCCTTATATAAAGACTGTTTTTGAAAACTTTAGTTTTCCGCTTCCGAAATCCCTCAACAAGAAGCAAAACCATATTTTTTCCAATTAATCCTACAAGAGCATTTTAAAATTTATAACAATCATTTAGTACACTTAACGAATTGAAATTATGTAATTTTTGTAATGTATTTGCTAGAGTATTAAAACTTAGTTGTGTTATTTTAAATTGTAAATTGATCAATTGTAAATATAATTTCAGAGACTGGTGTTGTCCGTACAACCTGGTTTGGTATCTTTAAGAAAAAGAAGAAAAAGAACCAAACTGTGGAGGTACAAACTTTGAATAACACTGATGAGAACGGCTTGAATGAAAAGCCTGATCATGAAATTGCTCAAATGAGTACCAACAATATTGAGCAAAGAGATTTTGTGGAAGCAGGGATGGCTGAAGATCCCCCTTGCCTTCCAGCAAATGATGGATTAACTTTTGAAAAGGAATTCGTCCGATTTCCGGACATTGAAAATCCATTTTGTGATAAAACTGAGATGCCACGTACCTGCGCTTCTGGTGAAACTGAGCTGAAAAAATCTCAGAAGAAATTGAAAAAAAGTATAACAGGTAAATTATTTTCATAATTATTCGTTGTTTTGTAAACCTAGCACTACCGCAGTAGTCCGGAGTGAACTATGAAGTCAAACATGATTAATACCTACACTGAAAATTAGACAGTTGTTTTGCATAATGAACATAAGAATAAGATGGGACAATTTGCGTTTTTATTACTGACCTACGATTGTGGTGAAACTGTTTGACCTCTGTAGTTTTTGAAATTCAAAACTATGTAAAATGTCATACTTGATTTTTTTTTTTTTTTTTTGTAAAATGTTACTATAATTTAAAAGTATGAGAAAGCTCAAAATGATAACAGAAAATATTCCGTACTTATATTTAAAAAATAAATAACTCAGAATACTAGTTACCAGATTTTACGTTTTTTCTTCGTGATTTTAGATACTTCCGTGTTTTATTTTTGTATTTCATATTCACAAAATATTACAAATTTTATATTCAACATTTGCATTTTTTTTTTTCATTTTCTCACCCTTTCTCCGAATTTTTAAGAGTTTTTATTTTCTATTCCTTTTAATGGTGGTTGCTGGATAAGAGTTACGAGCAATGCTAAAATTAGTGTATTACTTATAGTTACTTGATAAGTATCCATCAGTTCAGGACTCTGTGAAACATAGTTGTAAATATTTTTAATGTTCAACTCTATTTTGCAGCTCCTCCAAAGCCATGCAGAGCCTTGTTCGAAAGTGTAAAGAAAAACAACAAAAAGGAAAAGAACGAATTAAAAAAGGCTTTTTGCAACCATGTGGATCTACTCATGGATATAAAACATCGCCTCAAAAAGGACAAATCCGATCCTCGCAGATTGTATGACCTGCTCAATTCGGAGGAAGTGATTTTGTCCAGTCGCAAGTTGCTAACTGAACTGCGAAAAATTGATAAACTGCAGAAAAACGGACAGTTCTTCTTTAACTAAGAGGTGAGACAAAAAAAAATTGCTGCCAGGGTTTTGTTTAAGAGAAATTTACGTCAACTAAACTATTATTTGTTTTTATAGTACACAGCGAAAAAAATGGTAATGACATTTCTGAAGAAAAAAAAACATAGTTCTGATTATTAAAACTAAAATATAAGAAATTTAAACCATTCATTTGGTAATTTTTCAATTTATATGGTAACAGTTTACCAGAAATTCTGGTTTTCAAAATAAAAGTTTTTATTACTGTACATTTAGTAAACAATATAAACCTAAAACTTAAATTTAGCTGAATAAATAGTTTTTTTGCCATGCCCTTAAGTATCATGCCAAAATTACAAAACTCAAAAATAAATTTTTTCACATATTTTAGATCGTCATTTTTGTGCTAATTTTACCAAAATCATTACCGTAGTAATTTTGCCAATTTTACCAAAATTCCTACGCTTCAATATATATTACCGAGCTTTTACTCATAGAGCCAGAAATACGGTAAATTTTACCATATTCTGGTAGTTGTAATTGTAATTTTTTCTCGGTGTATAACCGGATCCTTCCCAAAAATATTCATTCTCAAAATGGACTTCTAAAAAATTCTTTTTTTTTTTTTTGAAAAAATGTGAACGATTAGGTCAGCAATTTATCATTTTAAAGCTAAAAGTCCTCAAAAGACATGATACTGTGTTTAGTTAAGTGGGGGGGGGAGAATTAAGTATTGAACTTTCACAAATTCAGTTAAAACAGGACCTTTTACAGTAGGGGAGAGTGGGGTCAATTGTAACAGGGTACGATTGTAACAGAATAAAAATTTCGAGTGTCGGGTCCTAGATTTGGTTCCTAGGTGGCGCACAAGGTGTATTTAATAAATCTACATGTACACCCCTGCTCCCAACCATTTTTATGTACTTTTGAAAGAGTTACAACACAAAAGATATTTCTACGCTACGTAAGTACTTTTTTTGGTATTAGAATATTATATTGTAACAAAGTAATTTTGTTTAAACAAGCTACTGGTGACGATATTAGATGTAA